TGGAGAGGGCTGATAGAGTACTTTAGTCTTCTTGATATTAAGACTGAGACCAAGACATGCATAAGCATCAGCAAACACATTCAAGATAGTTTGAAGATCTTTCTCAGAGTGGGCAAAGATTGCGTTGTCATCAGCATACTGAAGTTCCACAATAGATGTTGTGGAAATCTTACTCTTGGCTTTGAGCCTTCTAAGCCTGAAAAGCTTTCCATCCATTCTGTAAGTGATTTCAATGCCAGCTGTAAACTTCCCAGCAATTAGGTAAAGAATGACAGCTATAAAAACCTCAAACATGGTTGGAGCGATGATACAGCCCTGTTTGACTCCTGTTTGTACTTTGAAAGGTTCACTCTGGGAGCCAGTGCTGCTCAGAACAGTCGCTTTCATGTTATCATGAAACAATTTTAGGACATTGGATGTCCTGATAAATACATCAATCTTAGAAAGTACAGTCCAGAGGGCACGGCGATTCACTGAGTCAAAGGCTTCTGTTAGATCAATAAAAGCCATGTACAGTGGTCAGTTTTGCTCCCGACACTTTTCTTGCAGCTGCCGTGCTGTGAAGATCATATCCACAGTTCCATGGTCGGAAACCACTCTGTGACTGGTAAAATTTCTTCTGATGGGGCAGAAGGCGGGTTTCAAGGATCCGCACCAGAACTTTGCCTGCAGTGGCTAGGAAGGAGATACCATGATAATTTCCACAATCCACTTTATCCCCTTTCTTGCCCAGGGTGACAATCAAGGCATCCATCATTTCACTGGGTATCTCCTCCTTTATCCAGATTTTAAGGATAAGCAGGTAAAGCTGCTGAATTAGCTCTGGACTACCGGTTTTGAAGATTTCAGTAGGGATCCCATCTAGACCTGCTGCCTTGTTGTTCTTCATCTGCATGCTGGCATTGTGCACTTCATACAAATTGGGAGGGTCTCCGAACTCATCTCTAAATGGTCGTTGAGGGATTTGCTCAAGGACTTCATCTACAGCCATAGAATTACGGTTAAGGAGATCTTCAAAATGTTCTTTCCAGCGAGAATTGATGGCTTCGTTGTTCTTCAGAAGTGTGGTTCCGTCCTTAGAGCGAAGAGGATTTATACCATGATAAATTGGCCCATAAACAGTCTTGGTGGCACTAAAGAAACCACATGTATTGTGGATGTCCACCAGATGTTGGAGTTCTTGTGCTTTCTCAGTCCACCATTTGTTCTTAAGTTCTCTGATTTTACGTTGTACTTCCGTTCTCGCTTCTCTCTTTATATTACAATTATATTACAATTTGTCATTCTGCCAAGCACTAAATGTCATTCTCTTCTCATTGATGAGTTGCTCAATTTCAGCATCATTCTTGTCAAACCAGTCCTGATGTTTTCTGGTGTGGTAGCCTATGGTTTCCTCACAGGCATTGATGATTACTGCTTTCAACTGGCTCCAATGTTCCTCAATTTCTTCTGGAAACTCTGATGGGAGCTTTTCTTCTAAGACTGCTTGGAAGTGGTCACGCTTAATAGGGTCCTTCAAGTCTTGAACCTTCAGTTTGCATCTGACCTGCTTCTTTTGCAGCCTCCATTTGGGAGTGATCTTAATTTTCATTGTGGATCGAATAAGGCGATGATCAGTCCAACAGTCATCAGCACTTGTCATTGTTCTTATGAGAAGTATGTCACTATGATCTCGGGTACGAACTATGACGTAGTCAAGGAGATACCAGTGCTTTAATCGTGGGTGTCTCCAAGATGTTTTGAACTTTTCCCTTCGTCAGAAAAGGGTGTTTGTAATAATAAGTTCATGTTCAGCACACTTGGTCAGGAGGAGAATTCCATTTGAATTACTGTTGCCAACTCCTTCTTTCCTGATTGTTCCTTTCCATAGGTCTGAGTCTTGTCCTACATGTGCATTGAAAAGCCCCAGAAGGATGATCTTGACTGCTGTAGGGGTCTCTGATAAAATAGTTTCCAACTGAGAATAAAAATCTTCCTTTACATTCTCATCGGCATCCAGTGTTGGTGGATAGGTGCTAACAATAGTTGCCTGTTGATTTTTGGTGAGCCTCAGTTGGAGTGTCAAAAACCGCTCATTGATGCCAAGTGGTACCTCAGAGAGGCACCTTACGAGCTTGTTCTTCTTCGAGTGATTGTTCACATCCATTACACAATAGGTGCGCGCGCATCGCGTGCACGGATGTCGGAAACTTTTTCAGTAACTTTTCCCTCAGTGGCTCCCGTCGGGCCGGCAGGGTCCCCCCTCCCACCACAGCGGCGCCCTGCTCTAGCATATATATATCCCTGCGGGCCCGACCCTCCCTCAGTTCCTTCTTACCGTCCGTGGTGGCGTTGGAACAACTCTGTCTCTCGTCTGAGAGTGTCCCTTAGCGTAGTAGTTAGTGTTAATCTTAGCAGTTATCAGATCTTTCGAAATACATCTCACGGCGTGGTATCTCTCTGGCTAAAGGATACGGAGCACAGGTGCTCCCACCAGGTCCAGCAAATTCTTCTTGGTAGTAGGAAGCCCTCCACAAAAGCGACCTACCTTGCCAAATGGAAGAGGTTCTCCCACTGGTGTGAGCCTCATCACATACAGCCTCTGCAGGCCTCCGTCCCATCAATTCTGGACTACTTGCTGCACCTCAAGCATCAAGGGCTCACCCCCGCCTCAATTAAAGTGCATCTGGCTGCCATATCGGCGTTCCACCCTGGAGAGTTGGGAGTTTCGGTGTTCTCCAATCCCACAGTAGTCCGATTCCTCAAGGGGCTGGAGAGGGTGTTTCCCTACAAGCCACCGCAGCCTACATACCCTCGATGTCTGTAGAGCCTTGGCATTTTATCTAGAACGGACCAGGCCATTCCGCAAGTCGATGCAACTTTTCATTGCCATTGTGGAGAGAATGAAAGGCCAGCCTATCTCGGCGCAACGCTTGTCAGCATGGATTGTGCTTTGCATACGCACATGCTATGAGCTCGCCAACGTACCAGCCCCGGAGATCAGGGCTCACTCGACTAGGCTCACTCGACAAGCGTCCTCGGCGGCTTTCTTGGCGCAGGTTCCACTCCAGGAAATCTGTAAAGCAGCCACCTGGTCGTCGGTGCATACGTTCACAGCCCACTACGCGATCCATCATCAGACCAGAGAGGACGCGGTGCTCGGCAGGGCTGTGCTTCAATCAGTTGTTCCTTGACTCCTACCCTCTTGCACTGGTAAGCTTGTGAGTCACCTAATGTGTAATGGACGTGAACAATCACTCGAAGAAGAAAAAACGGTTACCTACCTTCTGTAACGGTTGTTCTTCAAGATGTGGTGTCCATTACACTTCCCACCCTCCTTCCCCTCTGTCGGAGTCACCGGCAAGAAGGAACCGAGGGAGGGTCGGGCCCGCAAGGATATATATACGCTAGAGCGGGGCACCGCTCTGGCGGGAGGGGGACGGGAGCCGCCCTGCCGGCCCGACGGGAGCCGCTGAGGGGAAAAGTTTCCGATGTCTGTGCACGCGATGCGTGCAAACCTAATGTGTAATGGACATGAACAACAGATCTCGAAGAACAACCATTACAGAAGGTAGGTAACCATTTTTTCTTTATAGCAAAGCCCACTCCATGCAATCGGGGTTCATCTATAGATTTTTCCCTTCCAGAAGAGGTGTATCCTCCTTTCTCCTCCCTCACCTGTCCTTCATCAGCTCTTCTCGTTTTGGTCAAAGCAGCAATATCGATGTTAAACCGACTCAATTCATGAGCAATAATGGCTGTATGTCACTCTGGTCGGTCGCTGTTTGAGTTGTCCATCAGGATACATACGTTCCAAAATTGAAAAGTTTCTTACATTTTTAATCGCTGAGGTGGTGATCCTGCTGGATGCGGCTATCCAGCCAGGAGAAACAGAGGCAAAACTATTTTTAGGGTACCTTTTCTAACCCCCTCCCATGTGGGGTGAGCAAAGTGGATCCTAAAAAGGACTGCTCAGTCGTGGGTGTAGCTGCCGAGATGCTCGACCCGTCTCAATCCTCGAACAAGACGATTGTATCACACACCCACCGCCTGTGTGTCAGTCTGTGACTAGGAACTTCTGGATTTCACTATCCTGTTCCCGCTGCCACTCGCCAATCACCACCGGATTTTTGACTTGTACAAATGTTATTTTCCCAAAAAACTGGAAGATTAAAGTGGGGAGACTGGTGCACAACAGTCACCACACTACCCTTGACAGATGGAGGACTTGAACCATGGACGAGGATGATTGGAACCATGGACACCATGACGATTGGAAAGCCTCTATTTGCTGCAGCCTTCATCCACCTTCACAGCCATTGTAACATTACACAACAGTTTCACCTCCACTGTGCAGTTATCCTCCATCTGCTCTGCAGTTAGGGACTTCTTGGATCACACTTTGTCTGGAACCTCTCCCTTGACCGTTCTGCCATGGGTGACCCTAAGGGAGTACATGACTCCAGGCAGCATCGCTCTTGGGGTCATTGAGACACGCAAGCCTCTCCACCACTACAAGGTGGTGATCCATGGAGAGGATCAGTCACATGAGTAGTACAGTAATAACAGAAAGCATATAGTAATAGTATATTAAATAATAGTATCTAATACTATTTACAGTGTACCTACAGAGAGGATTTCAGTCAAGATAATGTAGTTTAATGCATTAAAACCATCTCTTTGTAAATTTGTTCCAGTAATGTGTACTGCTGTGCATAGTGGAGTCTTCTGTAGAATTGTTATCCATTCAGATTTTATAAAGATTGTAATTTTAAAAATTATTTTACTGTGTTAAATATGGACAGGAAAAGAATAATTTTGCTATTTGAATGATCTGAGCTGTTTATTTGGATAAAAACATGTTCAGGGCCCTTTCAGCGGCATCTCAAAACTTTCAGGTGATGAATTCTTCCCGTAAAACTATTTGAGTTTTAAAATATATTTGTGTGTTTTAATCCATACTTGTACTTAACAAAGACTTGTGAACTTCACTAATTTCAATTATTTTTGTTTCTATTTAGGCGTTTAGATGCTAACCATATTACTGCAGTCCCAGAAGACAGTTTTGAGGGTCTTGTCCAGCTACGTCACCTGTGGCTGGATGACAACAGCTTGACAGAAGTCCCCATTCATCCACTCAGCAATCTTCCTTCTTTGCAGGCCTTAACTCTGGCTCTCAACAAAATAACACACATTCCTGACTTTGCATTTACAAACCTTTCAAGTCTCGTTGTTCTGTGAGTATTAGCAGCTTTTCACTTTACAACTCAATTTGATCCTCCAAGTGTGGACCTGATTCAGCTAGGATTGCAATGAGAAGTGTGTTCTGTTCTGTTTCACTTCAGGTGGCTAATAGTTTGTAACCCAGAAACACCACAAACTGGTACAATTATCTTCTTATTAGAGAGGTCTACACTACCAGAAAATCAAAAATGCTATGACTGAGATTGCTCCATGATTTTCAGTTGCGTCTCTTTTTGGTAACATAGTCTTTCTTGAAAACTGACAACTGAAAAAAGTTGGCAAAAGAAGGCATTGTAGTTTTTAAGAGATGGAAATGTCATCTTCTTCAGGCTTGTTCCTTATGGGATATTTTTCATATGCTTTATTTAGTCTTAAATGTGCCTGGGACTGGTGTTAACACTAGAGCTGGGCCAAATGTTTTGAGTTTTTGAATTTATTTTTTTAATTCAAATTTTCATCACATTTTTGGGGGTTTCTCAACTAACTGTAGAGATGGTTGGAAGTTTTCAGTTTTCAAAAAGTTCTGTCAGTTTCAAAAAGCCAGCAAAAAATAATTAAACTTTCATGACTCTCTCTTTTTTGTGGAGGTGGTTTTTGGTTTTGGTTTGGAACTACTCTAGTTGTTTGCACCATTTTGCTTGAAGACTATTTAAAAGCCTTAGCTATAAACTGAAGGCCCCACTTCAGCACTTGGAAATTAATTGCAGTTTTGTCAGACTCAGGAGTGCTGAACAGGGCCTCAGGTAGGTAATTGTGATGATATCCAATATCTTGTTCTCATCTTAGATTGTGACATCTCTTGTCTGGTAATAGAGGCATTCTTTTGTAAAGTATCACTTCCCCTCACCCTTTAATGGTTTTTCTAAAACATCCTGCTATTGTAATATCAAATAGTCAAATTTATGTTAATTTTATAACTTATCCATGAGAAACTGATTATTTTGAAACTGGTTTTGTTGTCTCTTTAGGCATCTTCATAACAATAAAATAAAAACAATAGGAAAACATTGTTTTGATGGATTAGACAACCTAGAAACTTTGTAAGTACATTTTCTGTGTTCATTTATTGGTCTGTGTTTGTAGAAATCTCTGTAACAGACTAGTTATGGAAACTAGCACTTCTGACAAAAGACTTGTTCAGATATCCCTAAGTTTATAATTAAAGTGTTATAGCTAATAAATAAATACTTGTTACCTCAACTTACTTTTAGCAATAAACATATTGCAAAATATGTTGCCAATTGTCTTTGACAATACTAATTACTTCAGTCCTTGTGTAATAGTGAGATATGCTTGAATGTCAATGGATAAAATAATCTTGAGTTTAAGACAGAGAGCTCAGAAGCAAAGTTTATAGCCATTTAAGTGTTTTGTATGATACTGCATGGACTACAGATTTCCTTTCAGCTTGCTTCATGAATCTCTAGTAAGCAATATTTCACTAACAAAAAATTTTTGTTACATTTAAAGAATGCAGAAAATATCTATGATGAAATCCTGGCCCCACTGAACCAGTGACAGCTCCCACTAGTTAGAGAGGTGGTGGAATTTTACTCCTACTTTGTGAGAGTTTGGAGGAGGAACTTTACTTGCTCCAGAAACCCTGTAAATCTTTATTTAATATTTAGAACAGTCAGTTATCAGGGTAAAGTTGTAATTTGATATCTTTTAAAGTTAGAAACCAGTTCTAGGTTTTTGGTTTTTTTTAATAAATCTTTTACTTCTCAGCTGGAAGGAAAGTACACTCTTTGGGCCTAGTCCTGCAGCCCTTCTCAGGGAAAAAATCAATAAGAACGTAGTCTGAAGAAGAGCTACACAATTTTGCCCTTTGACATTACCTTCTGCATTTTTGTGAAACAAACAGCCAGCATAAAACTGAGAGCTTGACTGGCTCTTTAGCTGGAATGGTGACAGAGCAACTATGATTAGTTTATTGTGTAGCTGAACAGTAAATGTTTCCAACAAATCCACTTTGCTAATGTAACAAGGATTTGTATATTAGGATTTACATGATTGTATCGTACTTGACTCTACCTCTTCTTTTGTTCAGTTATAATAATTGTCTTTACTAGAAGGTCTGTAGGTCCTGCTATTCTCTTGTGGCTGATATTGGTGTATATTTTATAAAACCTAAGAGATTTTCTGAATAGGCTATACAAAATTGTCATTCGTATCTGCACCTTTTTTGGGTTTTTTTAAAAGACTAAATTTTAGTTTTAAAGGCTTCTGAAGGATAAAATCATCATTAAGATAAACCAGTGTCTAAAGAAGTATATAGCTTCACTATATGGAGATTATATATACGGTATATAAATCAAACAATTTAACATTAGGTGTCCACTGAAAATATGTCGCTAGCACTGAGTGTTTGCTGATGTTGCTATTTCTACTAGGGATTTAAATTATAACAACATGGTAGAATTCCCTGAAGCCATTAAAGCACTTCCAAGCCTAAAGGAGCTGTGAGTATTACTACATCTTATTCTACCCATTTTCTTTATCCTTTTCACAAATAAAAAAGCAATCCTAACTCCAAGGTTAGGAATGCCTCTATTGTCCCATTACCCAGTAATCTGAAATGGACTAGGTTATGCTAAGCAATACTCTAATTAGAGGCGGGCGTAATCAGCAGTTAGTGAGAGAGTCTGTTATTTTTTGAGTGATAAAAATAAGCAAATTATTCAGGATAGCTATTAACATAGATCTTAACCATCAGCTATTTGGACACTGTTTTGGGGCCTCCAGTAGCAAAATTATGTAATTACTGATCATTATGCTTTTTTAAAAAACATTTTATCACAGATTGATGCAGAGTTTAGCTTTCTCCCCTGAAATATTTCCATTTTAAGTACTGATATATAGTAGACAAAGGTCTGATCCTTCAGTTGTGCATAGTCTCATTTGACTTCAGTGCAACTGTTTGCAGGATTGAGCTCTGAGTTTGTGTATTATTTGAACACTAGCCAAATGACAGTTGATCGACCCTAATGATGCTATATTTTAAGATTTATTTCTCTTTTGTCAATATATTTTTAGGGGATTTCACAGTAATTACATTTCCATAATCCCCAATGGTGCATTTGAGGGAAATCCCCTTCTAAGGACTATGTAAGTATTATTTTGTGTGTATTTGTAGTCTAATTATCAGACAGTGATTGTATGAACTGATGGGAGACTGAAATCTGTTTTTAATTCCTCAGACATTTGTATGATAATCCTCTCTCTTTTGTGGGTAACTCGGCATTTCAGAATTTATCAGATCTGCACTCCTTGTAAGTACTTTCTCAGTTTATAACAGAATATCTGAAGTGAAATAGCATGTCTGTGCCCCTAGAATAACTGATTTTGCTGGTCAGATGTTGCTTCATGCACAATTTTTATTTGCACTTAGTTTTAATAAACTTTGCTGTTTGTTCTTGAAATGTCCAGTAGTTTGAGAGTCTGATGGATAGTCTTAAAAATTTTTTGTTCTCCTAACTCGCATAAGAAAAGTAACCTAAAGCCAAATGCTCAGGTACTTGTCCAGACAAATTCCCACTGAAGCCAGTGGAGCCTATATATATTTCTGAATATGGATGGACATTGGGAATGTGTTTGCAGGCAAGTACATGCACACTTTGAAAAAGATTGCTAGTCTGGGGGTTCTGAGTAATGAGTAAGTAAAAACTGACTTAAAAACTTCAAGATCTGAGTCACAATCAAAAGATTTTATAGTATACTGTATACTTTATACTATATTCAGAACATATATCTAAATGGCACTTTCAAGTGGATGGATCCTGCTTAGGTACAAATGTGGGATCCCACTTGGGTGCCAATCCCAGGCTCTCCTAATCAAAGACTAATATGTTTTAGTATGTTAAATAGGGGCTGATATTTGCAGAACTACTGTGGTGCCTCCTTCATGCTGATCCTTTAAATGGCACACATGTAAAAATCAGCAATGATCTTATTTGTTGGAATGGAGTAGCTTTGGAAGTTGGATCACAGAACCATCTGCAGAAAATTTGCACATTAGCAGTGTTCTGCATTCCAAGCATGATTCTGACAGAATATCACATGCTTTCATAGCATTTGATTAAACATATTTTTACTTTAGGTGTATTCAACGAGTGTCTTTAGACCTACAGTGTAACCAAAATTCATTGAGGCAATCAATTGATTAGTATGTAACATTCTAATGAAAACTTCCATAACAGGATAAAAGGATTGTCCCCCTTCCTCCCTCCACCTCCTCCACCCCCCCCCCCATCTCCCACAATTTCCATAATATAATTTACAGATAATCTACCTGTTTATTTAGGGTCATTCGGGGTGCCAGCATGGTTCAGTGGTTTCCTAATTTGACAGGAACCAGTAATCTGGAGAGCCTGTAAGTATCTTCTACCAAACACTGCCAATACATTAATTTCTTGTTCTGTCTCTTCTTGGAACAATTAGTATTAAAATTGACTTCCAATGGTAGAAGTGTGGCTTAGTGAACAGGGCTGGAAGCCAGGAGATCTTGATTCTATTCCTACCTATCTATTTTAGGTAATTATATGACTGCCATTACAAAAGTAACGGAGTGCCTCACAATTTTGAATGTATTTACTTGTGAGGCTTCAGCTGGAGTACAGTGTCCAATTCTGGGTGCCTCATGTGGTAAAGATGTGGATATGTTGGAGAGAGTCCAGAGGAGCACAACAAAAACGATAAAGGGTTTAGACATCTGAGGAAAGATTAAAATAACTGAGCATGTTTAGTTTTGAGAAAAGAAGACTGAGGAGGGACCTGATAAATCTTCAAATATGTTAAGGGCTGTTATAAAGAAGATGGTGATCAATTGTTTTCCACAATTCACTGAAGGTAGGACAAGAAGTAATGGGGTTAATCTGCGGTAAAGAAGATTTAGGTTAGATATTAAGAAAAACTTTGACTATAAGGGTAGTTAAGTATTGGAATAGGTTACCAAGAGAAGTTGTGGAATCCCCATCATGGAAGGTTTTTAAAAACAGTTTAGATAAACGCCTGTCAGAGGGGGTCGAGATTTACTTGGTCCTGCCCCACTGCAAGGTCTTGGACTAGAAGACCTCTGATGGTCCCTTCCAGCCCTACATTTCTGAGACCTACTATGTACTGTTTGAGCATTCAAACATGTATGTGTTTTTTTGTTTGTTTTTAACACAGGACTCTTACAGGCACCAAGATAAGCAGTGTTCCCATTAACCTATGCCAAGAACAAAAGATGCTTCGGACTTTGTAAGTCAATATTTCCTGCTCCTGTTTTACCAACAGTATAAAATAATTTGATAGCGATATATTGCACTATATTTAAAGAAAGTGTCATTGCTCAAAGTCGCTCTGTCAACGTTGGTAGGCCCCAAAATTGTTCAAATATCTGATCCCTCTTTGACTCCTCTGGAGTCCTGGTGCTGCAAAGTATTATGTTGATATACCAAATCAAGTCCTTGAAACAGCAGTGTGTTTATTGAAGTACACGGTGTTTCTTCACCTATGGTGGTGTACAGCTGTAAGGATGTCAGTGTAACAGCATTTGCATGGGAATGTCTTCACATTTCATTGTGCCACCCACTCGTTCTCCAGACCACACTCATCATCCACATTTGGAGAGTAAAGAAGAGTAGCACTCATAACTACTGTGGTGGAGGAGAGGAGACCAATGGAGAATAGAAAGTTGGGGTGGAGGAAAAGAATGGTAAAGTGCATGAGAGAGATAGGAGGCATGCACTCAGAAGGTAAAAGTAAATGATGGGGAGAGGGCAAATTAGAAAATAAAAATGTATTTAAGAAAGAGGATAGGTTTTGTGGGGAGTAGGGAAAAGATAATTGCAAAGGATAAATTCTTCTCACTGAAAAAGACTGGGGGGAATATGTCTTCTGTTTTATAGACCGGTAAGACAGCAGAGCATTGTGCTTTTTCTGTCAACCATTGGCTTTTTGAATCTCTAGTTTAATGGTAGTTTGGCTGTTTCCAGCCCCCTTTCTTGCCACCCTGTCCCAGCACCCCCTAAAAAAATCTGAAAACTTTCCCAGCTTTGGATGGGGAGTGATCTGCACACTTTGAGCAGATCTGAATTACATCCACATGTCAGAGATCACCCTTCCGTTTCTTGTGGAAAACATGCGCCTTTAATTTTGCACTATCAAAATTGAGGGGATTTATACAGTAGTTATTTTCCCACTGCATGGATTAGTTGGCCATGTTTTGTGCACTATTTTATATGCGTAGCTAATAGCAATACCTACAATTAACACTTGCCTGACACTTTCCATTATATAGTTTTAGTTGTTTATAATTTTGCCAAACTTTAGCCTTTTGGGCTGATTTTTTTTTTCATGCTTGCTGTCTGTCTCAGGCTGAATATTTCTGAAAAGTCTTCAGTAAAAATGGTTAAGCCATTTAAGAGAATGAGAGTGAAAAATAGATGGGTTTGTCAGTGTTACAAGAACTGAGAGAATGTTCTCTTGTATTTAAAATATGAAGGTAGGATTCAGGGCTGCTTTATGAGCAACCTTGAGTCTGGCATTTCCTCACTTTTGAAGTTTGACTTCGCAACCTTTACGTTGTTTTTCATAGCTTTTTGTATGTAATAGGTAGAGCCAGTATACATAATGGGGGCCAGTTGCTGGGGAGCATAGCTGTGAATCCCCTGACTTTTGTGTGTCTTTAAAATGTCTTCAGTTTTTTTCTAGAATTGTGGTAACAGGATGGTTGGTATGCTGATTTTTATTTAATTTATGGTTGCAGTAAAGTAACATTTCAAATAGAGCAGAGTTAAACTAACCACTCTCTTCCCATTGTCTATTTCAAGGGACTTGTCTTATAATAACATAAAAGAGCTTTCGAGTTTTAAGGGCTGCAGTTCCTTAGAAGAAATGTAAGTATAAATGTATGTTAATTATCCTAAATAACCCTTAGTGTACTGAGTCCACAGCTTCCAATACTGAGTTCTTGTACTTAACATCTGACAGAAAATGTAATAGATTTTTAGGGCCAGAAGAGAATCTTATGATCAGTCTGACCCCCTGTATAACATAGGCCGGAGAATTTCACCCATTGAGTTCACTCACATAGTCAGAAGTTTCACATTTCTTCCTATTTGGACACAAAAAGAATGAAAGACTCAGTAATCCTGCTTTTCATAGCAAGCTTGTCATATTTATAAATATGCCCTCCTCATCTTTGCTATCCCCACTGCTTAATCCCTTGGTTTCTGTAACCTTCTCTTCCCTACTGTAACCTTCGCTCCCCTCCCAACTTTTCTCAGTCCTCTCCATCTATCCAACATGGCACTGTTAAAAGTCCTCTTCCTGTCCAAGAAACACTTTTCCCTCTCAAATCCCTTCTTTGTTTTTCCTGTGTTTTACCACATCAGATAAAGCTCCTCATCCTCTCCTTCTAAGCCCAATATAATCTTTCCCCTGCTTATATCTCTGCTCCCATTTCTACCCCTGGTGCTCTCCCAGTCCTCTTTTCTTCTTGTGCTGTTCGTCTTTCTTTCACTCTCAGCTTTGCACCTTCCAATGTGTAACCCTCTAGTCTTGGATCTGTCTCCAAATCCTTGCCTGTCAAGACCCTATTATCTCCCCCATAAAACCTACTTTTTTACAAGTATCCAGCCAGTCTGCCTTCCTTCTTGCCTCATTCTCTTGTCATGTGCTCTCTTGTCAGAGGCCAGTTGTACAACATGCTGAGTTTCAGCTTCCACTGAAGTAATTGAGAGTTGAGTGTGGTAGGCACCTTGCAGGTTTAGGCCCTTAGATTGTGAATTCTTCAGGGCAGGGAATATATTGTACATTCTAAAGTGCCTGGTCAATTTATGAGACCACATAATTTGATTTTTAATAAGGATAAATTTATCTGATTGAAAAATAGATGATAATTTAAAAAATATATATAACAATGCTCCAATCTCCACCACTTTCTTCCACTGCCAGGAACAGTCCTGTGGTTGAAGGCAGCATAAAAATGCACCATCCCCTGCTGCCCTTAGAGAAAAGTGTTGATATTTCATCCACTGGCAAGCAGGTGGAGTAAACAGATGAATCTTGTCCTGTGCTCTGACTGTCAGTCCAACAGAGATCAAGTTTTCTATCAAGGGCAGCAAGTTCTGGGGCCAGTTGCCCTCCGCTAAATCTATCTTGCCTCATGTTCCTTAGAGTTCAGATTTATGGCCTAGAATGCAGGAGCACCTCAATGAATGTTGACTATCAGATGGGCACATAGGAAGAGAATGAATTGGAAATATAACCTGCCCATTAGCTCTTGCATAATGAAGGGTCTCTCAGTGTTTTCCTTTTATAAATCCATATTTTAAGAAGTAATAGTTCACTCTGGGTTGGCGCTTGGCCTAAATCATCTCAACCTGGAAGTGAGTAGGTTTGTTTTAAATGCCAAGGTGCATCTGTGTCACAAAGTGACACTTATGGCTTGGAGGTAGTTCAAACCTCACTTGTCAATGTTCACCTCTGCCAAATGGGTTGTGAATTAAAAAAAATGGGCTGGAAACTCCATAAGGGGGCTCCAAATATTGAATTAACCTCTCAAGAGAAAATAGCCATGCGTATTGTGGTGAAGTGGAGAACAGTTATTTAAACAGTGGGCCCAAAATGGAGGAATGATCAGAAAAATCATTTCATCTGTCAATGGTATTGATTAGTATCTTTCTTATCTTATTCCCATTGTTCTGATTTGCTAAAATCTGTAGAGAGACAGACTGGGGAAAACAGTAGAGGATAATATACTAAGAGATGAGGGAAAAAACAAAAGCCAAATATTCCTCATTTTGGAGGAAATTAGCCTCCAAATAACTTCCCCCCCCCCCCCTTGCATTCCAGTTCCTTACAACATAATCAAATCCAGGAAATCAAAGAAGACACCTTTCAGGGACTAACTTCCCTACGCATCCTGTAAGTACATATATTTTTACTTACTTATTTTTAACTATATATATGTTTACTTTCTGAATACTATGGGATGTAAATTATGATTCATAACTAAATATGTGGGTTTGAAGGTAATAATCTGTCTTGTATTAATAGGCTAGATGTTATATATCCCAAGGCAAAGCTAACCGTGATCTATACCAGTGGTAGGCAACCTATGGCATGCATGCTGAAGGCAGCACACGAGCTGATTTTCAGTGGCACTCACACTGCCCGGGTTCTGGCCACCAGTCTGGGGGTCTCTACATTTTAATTTAATTTTAAATGAAGTTTCTTGAACATTTTAAAAACCTTATGTACTTTACATACAATAATAGTTTAGTTATATATTATAGACTTATAGAAAGAGACCTTCTAAATATGTTAAAATGTATTACTGGCACTCGAAACCTTAAATTAGAGTGAATAAATGAAGATTTGGCACACCACTTCTGAAAGGCTGCCGACCCCTGATCTATACGATAGTTACTGTTTTTATTAGGCACCAGTTTTACTCTTTTTCTGTACTTAATATTTATATATATTAATATAAATACATTGTGAGAAAATATGTATTTTGCATACCAAGTTTGGTAAAAAGGGGTTCTTGTCATTTTTATAATTAAGTTAGCTATTTTTACCTGAAGTGAATTGCAAAAAGCAGTATAAGTAAAGTAGGGCAAATGTCATTCTCCCAGCCCTAAAGTAGTAAACATGAACACAGTTGCCAACTTTCATGCAGTAAATAAGCACTCTGACTTTCACAATAAGCCAAAAATCAAGCTAATCCCATTTCAAAACAAGGCCAAAACAAGCCAATTCCTAAGAACCCCAACAGTCTGTGACTAGATCCCCCCTATTGTGTAGTTGGGGACTGTGGTGGGCCCACTGTGCACCCCTGACTCTCTCTCTTCCCCCCCCCCTTGCCCCTTTGGCCCCTGCTTGCTGGGAGCCGATCAAAAAAAAAAGAAGCAACAAGCTGCTACAAGCCAAACAAACTACAAGCCAAAAACTAGCCCAATTTCTGCGTTTTTTCCCCACAGGTTTGGCATGCCTGCTTTTAAATGGACAAATAGTAAGGAGTTTGAGAGCAATAGAGGTTAAATTTCTTCGGAGATTTTTCTGGCTGCTCACTGTCGTGTTAATGTTTTTGCTGGAGCACTACTATATGTGTTTTACTTGATGGTGGCAGATTTATAATATGAAACAATGTATTGGTAAACATTAGGACTTAAAATGTGGTTGATAATACGAAAGTGTTCATTACTTATTGAGGAGCTAATAAAAGGGAGTTATGAGATCCCAGAAATTCACAGCTGCTATTAAGTAAATAATAGCAGCAGTTAGTCACTACGGTGTAAGGCCCCCGGGCTTGATCCTGCATGTGAAAACTCGCTGCTCTCTCCATCTTATTTATATTACAGTAACACTCCAAAGCTCTAGTCAGAGTCCCATTGTGTTGTACAGATATAAAATAAGCCCTGTTCTTGTCCCAGAGAGCTTATGTTCTCACCTCTCTGCAGATGCCCAGCACTTAGCAGGATTAAGCCCATGTATACATGATTCTATATGGAAAATGTCATGGAGATACCAAAATATTGTTAAACCATGCAGATTACTTGACTTTCCTGTCAGAGGTATAATGTGATTGCCACTTACCGAGCTCCCAAACAATGGTTATTCTGACATTTCAGTTAAATTGCTAACTAAATGGCATTTTTTATTAATTGCAGTGATCTCAGTCGAAACTTGATCCAGCAGGTTCACAAGAAGGCATTTACTACACTTGGTGCTATAACTAATCTGTAAGTAGGCCATTTTGTGCAGTAAACCAGCACCTCCAGCACTAAATTGCTGAAATGGTAAAATTTTCTCACTCAAAACTGATGTGTGTTTGCTTTTTTTTAATAATTTTTCATCCCTAGAGATCCCCAAACTACACACACACAGCAATGAAATGAGGCACTCCTCTCTCTTGTGTGGAGGACAGAAGACATGCTGCTTGATGGGGGTTTTGGAGGACAGAATGTTAGCCAACAAACACTAGAGCAGATCCCTACTGATAGGAAACATGCCATGGGATCTTCAGACTTACTGTGTGTAACAATTTTAATATTCACCTTTCAGAGACTTAAGTTTCAATGAGCTGACTTCATTTCCAACTGAAGGACTGAATGGACTAAACCAGCTTAAACTTGCAGGCAACTCTGAGCTGAAAGAAGCATTGGCAGCAAAGGACTTTGTGAAGCTCCGGTATGTTAGTAGATAAAACTACAGATTGTTCAGATGAACATTTAAAATAGCATTTAGATGAATAAACAACGTGACACAAGTCAAGTCAACTCAGTTAAGGTCACTGTGTTCCTGTTAACTAAACTCACTTGTGCTGGATTTTTGTAATAAGTCAAGGGGGATCTTGACCATTCTTATTCCATAAGGCTGCTCTCACCTGTTCTTTTTGGAATCCTTGACACCCTTCCACCCAACCCCTTATATGTGAATTGGAGTAGTGGTATGGATGGAGTTCTGGATACCTGTGAAGACCCATTTGCCAGTGACTGAGCATGTCCTCTTCCTAGAGTCTGGAAAATGGGAGCTGGCTTATAATTCCACCACCCCAACCCTTTATACAAATGCTGGTTATTCTGTGAGGCCCAGCACAATAACAACAGTAGGCATTTAGGGCCTGATCCAAAAGCTTGTTGAAATCAATGGAAACACTCTCATTGACTTTAGTGGGCTTTGGAACAGACCGTTATGTAGCTTTTCTCATTTTCAGAGACCGATAGAAACATAATTCTTATGTCCCCTATGAAGCAGGTAAGAATTGTTTTAGATGGGGAAACTGAGGCAAAGACAGTTACTTGCCCAAGACCAGAGGAAAGAGTCAGATGTCTAGGATTCAATCCCAGGAGTTCGTGATATTCAGTCGTGTGTTAACAAGAGACTCAGCTTTTTTTATCCAAAAGCTGAGAACTACTGTGGCATGGCATTCACTATTCTGACACTCCTCCAACATGAGCATATAAATAGTGTCCAGGCACAATACAGTTCTTGTAGGATTTCAATTATAGCCTTGACTCAGAATGACATTGGTTTTGTGAGATTTTGTTGTAAGGGTAATTAGAAGTACACCCATCTCAAAATACTGTATACCTATGTACATTGCTTAATATTGATTAGCACAGGGGCATTCTAGACTAGTAAGAGTTACCATATTTTGACATGAACCTTGCAAAATTCCACGTTCCAGATGCAGGAATTACCAGAGTGGTGAGGAAATGCCACAGTTTTAGAGTACAGAGACCATGCTTCAGAAATCAAAGTGCAACCTACCTGACTAATCTTGTGATGGTTCTTTGAATATGCACTGCTTTTTTAAATCTCTTCAGTGCCCCAATTGCTATAAGTGTGGTTTATTGTACTATTCCCCCCCCCCCTCCCCATCTTCCACCTTAATTTTCATTTATCTTGAAAGAAAAATAACTTCCAACGTTAGCAATATAATCTGTTCCATATAGATTGAGAAGAGGAAAAACAGTTGGGTACATTGTTAGCAATCAGCTTGGCTACATCATGTTACCTGAAAAATTCAGATAAAGCTCCATGAGGCCACTGCTTTTGCACAGATTTTTATGGTAACCAATTAGTGCTGAACTGTATGTGTGATCAGCCCCTCCCATCCTTTTTTGCACTGATTTTTTAGCATGTCCTATTGCTGGCAGAAAGGAAGGTGCATACCAGGAAATCCTGACTTACTCTGAAGGATTTAATGTAAACAGAATGAACAATGAAGATGACAGATGCATGCTTAATAATGTGGTCATCTGGGAATTAACTTACTTGCACAACAGAGTTACTCTCCAGCCAGCTTGATTAGTTTTCATTTCTATGTATACAAGTGATAACATGAATACTAGTAACAACTTGCTTTGCATAAGACAGAGTTGAGCCAAACCCAGAGGAATGTTTCTTTACCTTCACCGCAGACTGAGGGCTTGGATGAAATGGAATCCTGATCCAAACCACCTCTGTTTTAGTTTTGCTTTTGCAAAAATCAAGAACTCCCTTTTTTTGCCCATCTCTAGTCAGTTTTAGTATCCTAAAGTGTAAGCTCATCAGAAACTCTCATAACTGATTCTAGTTTGAAGTTGGTCTTTATTAATGTATGTGTCAAAAAGAAGCTGCTCTTGAACAGCTTTAGCTTTGAGGCATGCCACTTTTAAAAATTAAGAATATAGATGCTGCCAGCTAATATTGTTCATTGTTTTGCCTGTATTTCAGGTCTCTGTCTGTTCCATATGCCTACCAGTGCTGTGCATTTTGGGGTTGTGACTCTTATTTGAACTCTAACATGGAAGATTCCAGCCACCACGATCAGAATGTGTTGATAGATCATGATAGAGGTGAGTGCTCCATTGTACTAGGCGTTCCGCTGCATTGCATAAGTTAGGCCAGACCAGGCAGATAATTTTGTTCTCCAACAAACAGATGTAGAAACTCATTTAAAGACTTATTATATGAGCACCCGCTACAAAATAATTGGTTCTATGTGATCCAATTCCTATTTCCAAAGGGATGAGTCTGCTTGGCTAACACAGGCTTTTCCCTGTTTCAGTTAGAAAATATTTTTTTCTTCTTCCATTGTATTAAATTGGTAGGGTCAGTTATCTTGCTATTCACTTGCTTCCCAGAGCACACTCTAAGAAATATCCTGCTGGTCTCAGCATCTCCATCTCCCTTTAGAGACAGGGTCTGAACTGTGAGTTTTCAATCCCTTGTTTCAAGTTTCCAAGTTCTCCTCTTGATATGGACTGGGACAGACCTGGCTTAAAGCAATAGTTCTCAACCTTCCTTACTCCTGGGACCCAAAGTCCATCTGAATTTCTTTTCCAGGAGCCAGCCAGATCCCACAATTCTTTGTGGGCACTAAGGATTGCAGCATGGCAAGAACCCATGCCTGTATGTTGTAGTAGGGAGTGCTGAGTGTGGAGGGCAAAGAGAGGAGAGAGATTGCTGGTGGGGTGCATCTCCCAACTCTTTCCCCCACATAGCATTCATCTCAGGGGCCCAGTAGTACTGTACAGGGAAGGGGATAAAAGAGGGGAGAAACAAGATGTAATGGGATTACTGCAGGGGTGGAGCAACAACAGGAGGAAGGGAGTAAGTGGCCTTTTCCTTCCCTTCCTTTCTTGAACTCCTGTTGAGTCCTAGCATCCAACGGATTTGTCGTGGGGATTTTTGCAGAGTTCCTCATGTCCCTCAGAACAAAATAGAATCTAAATACTATGATGGCAGAGGGTGGAATATATATATGTAAATAGCATTCAGCATATATAATCCCCAGAGAATGGAGTTAATTGCTTCAGATTTAATGATTTAAAAATACTTGGATGCTCAATTAGGTGGTTTAAGAAAAACAGTATCTGGTTAAAAATATTTGAAAAAAATCAAACTCATACTACTTCGGGACTAAAATTCCTGCCTTTACTCAGCTACAGCAGATGCAGATGTTCCAAACGCTGATGAGAATGAAGAACTGGGTCAGACAATTATTCATTGTACACCCACGACAGGTAATTAAAACAACCACTTTAGTTATATTCTGAACTTTTAGCCTTTCATTGTGCTTTAGGTGTCTACTGAATTATGTCTCTAATTCCCCATGGTCCCCATGTATACACAATCCTGCAGTGCTTGGGTGAAACTCCCACTGATGTCAGTGGTATCTTTGGATAAGTAAATACCACAGGACTTGGCCCAATTTAGCACTGTAGTAGAGAGCCAGGCTGGAACAAATCCAGGTGTGATTCCCAAGCTCAGTGCACAGAGTCTTAGCCTTTACATTTAGAGTTGACAGTATATATTGTCCTTTAATGCTTTGGACCAACTCTCCACATTAGCAGAGAATCCGAACTGCTCCAACTATAAAGGGTTGCAGTGCTTGTGGAGTTGCCGAAATTCTCTGATATTACAAAGGAACACCACAGACAGCTTCCATTGCTACTCTTCCTGCCCACCTATCTTCTCCGTTGCAGCTACTCCTTCCTTGCCAGGTCACCCAAAAGGCTCAGACATACTACCAAAGCCACTGCCCACTACAGACCTGCTGAGAACTATTGCACATTATTCCAGCCAGCTAATATGGCTCCTGCCATGTACCTGCCACCTTCCCATTCCCCTCCCATCCCCCCTTGCACAGAGGCATACTGCCAAGGCAATTGCCACAGGATGGAGAGGGGCCTGCACCTATTTTATCTCTGCCTCTCATGGCAATATTCTGAATCCATTATTCAGATTCACCAGACTGGCTTTTGCCTTTTGTGCCAGTTTCTGTTTTCATATGTGGAATGTTGGAGAGATTTCCTGGGTCACAGGAAAAGCAGTTTATGATTATAGGGAAAAATTCGTCATTGGTGTAACTGCACTGAACTCAGCAGTTACATTGGGAATGAATTTAACCTATGCTGCTTTGTGCTTGTTTGCTTTTAGATTGTTAGGTTGTTCACAGGAATTCTAATTCATGTACTATAGTCTAAGGTTTACAGCTTTTAGCGCTCTCATTTTGCACATGCTGGTGATGCTTCAACTCTTTAAGGAGCTAAGCCCAATACTTGTTTTTTAAGCTTACTGCCTACCTCAACCCCCCCTCCCCCGCTCATAATCTCTTCCCAGTCCAAGATGTCGCTCTGTTCTTGAGTAGGACACCTGCCCTCTGTGTAAATACAGAATCACTGCTCAGACGCCAGGTCCACTCCTCATTTTGTCTAGTTGCAGAGGATAGATTGCCAATCACTTAACTAATGGGGCCAGCAATTGGAAGCATCAAAACTCCTCCCTCTCCACCTTACCCATGTACTTGCATTGAGAATGGGAAAAGGAAGACTTTTCCTGGGGGAACAAAAAGCATGAGGTGGCAGAGGAGGCAATAGATGAAGGTGGTTGAAGGCTGAGGGGGATTTTTTCTATCTGAGTGGAAGAGATAGCCACTAGCATATACCACACCTGTTAGAAAATTATTTGCAAATTTGTCTTGGGAATATTGAATTCCCTTTCCATCAACACTATTTGTTCCCTTTTTCTTTTCCTAAATAGTATGCAGTTTTTGCCTTAAAGTAGTATTCTGATTAACATTAGTATGTTCATGTGATTTGAAAATAATTATTCAGTGAGGAATCTACTACTTGGGAATGCCTGCAAGAAAGGGAAATTTGTCAGCTGTTTTGGTTGGTCTATTTTCTAATGATCCAACTGTACCATTATGTAAACTGATTTCCCTCAATGCAGAAGAACATGTTGATTTTTGTCTTGGCTATAAACTAGAGGCAAGATTAAATTGTACTGAGTTCTGAAACAGAGTTCAAAAAGGCAGTTAAGACCTTGAGGGATTTTTGCACTGACCTTTGATTGTTTTCCACAATAATTGTTTCACTTAGAGTTTGGGGAAGACTGTACCTACTGTGTGGTCTTGGGGCCATTTGTGGCCCTTGATGCTCTAAATTGGGGTTATCTTGTGCTGGCTGGATCAGCCTCCAGGAGCTTTTCACCAGCTCAAGATGGTAGCACCTTCTGCTCGTGCCCCTTCTTGCCCTAGATGGCTCCCTGCACCCAAGGGCTACTGGCACGTGGCATAGAGCTGGGGCACCTGAGATTCCCCATATGCAAGAGGGATTGCCACTTACGATGTTTAGTGTAAGTGCTTGGGACAGAGCAAGGGCCAAGGCCCATCACATTGGTAAACAAAGTTTTTGAGAGAGCAGCAAAGAGTCCTGTGGCACCTTATAGACTAACAGATGTATTGGAGCATGAGTTTTCGTGGGTGAATACCCACTTCGTCGGATGCATGTGCAAAGTTTTGGAGGACTCCAAGAGTATTACTTTGCATATATAGGTAAATAAATAAATACAGAGAGAGAGAGAGCACACACATCTTATTGACTTTCAAAATGCACTAGATACATTCATTAAATAACCTTCATGACATCCATGTGATCTCCTATAGGAGTTCAGGTGGAGGGGATTTGAGGGAGTGTGGGAGCAATGATGCTGCTTAAGCTCAATCTCTCCTTGTGACAGATTTATGGTTTAAGTTGATTTACCTCTCATTTCTTCATCTCCATGGCACAAAATGTAGAGTATAATTTTCTTCTGTGACTTCCCCAAAGTAACCCATTGTGTCACTGGCAGGGCTGGGAACAGAAAACTTGTGGTGAAATCCTGCCCCTGTTTAAGTAAATAAATTGAGTTTGTTGGCTTTTTACAAAAGTGTTTCCTTGTAACTTTTTTTTTTTTAAAGAAGAAACATTGACAACTTAAAGTAACCCAGAGCTATTCCAAAGGGAGTGTTTGTGAATCGCATATTACAGGAACTTCGGGGTTTTGTTTTTGTTTGTTTGTTTTAAAGGAGTGGGGCAAATTTTTCAGGATAGATTTGAACAGCAAAGTGTTTCTGTTTCTTTGTACCAATGTGTTTATAAAAAGTATGGAGGTAAAAATAAAAGTTATTTAGGTGACCCTAATAAAAGCTCTGTTGAGTAGCAGAAAGACAATTAGGGCTTAATTATTTATTTTGTTTACACGGACTATTCCTGAGTGACCATTCTTCCTAGTAATTATCTCTTCAGGCTTAATTAATTCGTAAATAGCTTCAGCAGCACAGTTTACTTTCAACTGACCTATTTAGGAGTTCAGATGAGTGCTGCTGTTCCAGAAATAATGAGTTCTGTGCTTGTAATAGTGCTTAATTATGTAAGATTTTCAGTGATATTTTATTTTTCTTAATTCCTTGTCCTTTTTGTTGTGTTTCTTCTAGGTGCTTTTAAGCCCTGTGAATATTTACTGGGAAGCTGGATGATTCGACTTACTGTCTGGTTTATTTTTCTGGTTGCCTTGTTCTTCAACCTGCTTGTCATGTTAACGATATTTGCATCTTGTACTCCATTATCTTCCTCCAAACTGTTTATAGGCCTGATTTCTGTCTCTAATTTATTTATGGGAATCTATACTGGTATATTAACTTTCCTGGATGCAGTCTCTTGGGGAAGATTTGCTGAATTTGGCATATGGTGGGAGACTGGCAGTGGTTGTAAAGTTGCTGGGTTTCTTGCAGTCTTTTCATCAGAAAGTGCCATTTTTTTCCTGATGTTGGCAGCTGTTGAACGAAGCTTCTCCGCAAAACAGATAATTAAAAATGGGAAAAGCAATCATCTAAAACAATTCCAAATTGCTGCAATTTTTGCTTTCCTGTGTGCTATGGTAGCTGGATGCTTACCACTTTTCCATAAAGGGGAGTATTCAGCCTCACCACTTTGCTTGCCCTTCCCCACGGGAGAAACACCTTCACTAGGGTTTACAGTAACTTTAGTGCTCCTAAACTCATTAGCATTTTTGCTAATGGCTATTATCTATACTAAACTTTACTGCAACTTGGAAAAAGAGGACCTCTCAGAAAACACACAATCCAGCATGATTAAGCATGTCGCTTGGCTAATCTTCACCAATTGCATCTTTTTCTGTCCTGTTGCATTTTTCTCATTTGCACCACTGATCACTGCAATCTCTATCAGCCCTGAAATAATGAAGTCTGTTACTCTAATATTTTTCCCATTACCTGCTTGTCTGAATCCAGTCCTATACGTTTTTTTCAACCCAATGTTCAAGGAAGACTGGAAATTACTTAGACGGCATATCACCAAAAAAAATGGAGCAGTGGCAATTGCTGTCAATACTCAAGGTGGCTGTGTGACACAGGATTTCTACTATGACTGTGGCATGTATTCACATTTGCAGGGTAACCTTACCATGTGTGAATGTTGTGAATCACTTCTTTTATCCAAACCTGTACCATGCAAACACTTAATAAAATCACACAGTTGTCCTACACTGGCAGTGGTGCCTTGCCAACGGCCAGATGGGTATTGGTCAGACTGTGGCACACAGTCTGCTCATTCTGATTATGCAGATGAGGATGACTCTTTTGTGTCGGACAGTTCAGACCAAGTGCAGGCCTGTGGTCGCGCATGTTTCTATCAAAGCAGAGGATTCCCTTTGGTTCGTTATGCCTACAATATACCAAGAATTAAAGACTGAAAGGCTTTGCTGTAAGCTGTTCTCATAAGGAAGAAGTACAATGTTTCGTAGACCATACCTGTTCTGACCTTTCAACCAGGAAGCACTTTTGTACTCATTGTGTGGTGTCACTTGTAAAGAAGGGAAGTGGACAGTAAGTTTCTTGAGCCATACATTTGAGGGAGGGAAAAGTTGCCAACTGTAAATAATGGGTAAACCAAAACTTGTAACCCAATATTTTTATTCTTTCCAAGCAATACTGGTTTCTTTTATACAGTTTTTATGTGCTAAAGGTCTGTTTCCATGTTGAACTCCAATTGTATTTTGCTTCTACTGTTGTGTGAGGCAAGTTCTGTCAAGCTTTCTGGTTAAGCACAATATAAGGGACAGCTGTTAATATTAAGAAATTATTTTTAAATGTGATTTTCTATAATTAAGAAAAAATTGTTGCTAGCTTTGTATAGTATTTTCAGCATTAATCTCAGGATGACTTACTGCAGGGCCAAAAGAAGGGACTACGTCTCCCATACAGAACTGTGAGAGCAATATAGGTATAACATTTTTGTTTTTTATATTTCAAACTAAGATTTGATCTTAATAAGATAACTATTTTTTATTTAAAAAAATCTTTTATCCCTCGAGATCTGCAGACTGTATGAAATAAGAATATTAACAGTTGTCGGGAGCGGTAGAACTGAATATGGTTTTCAGTGGAGACACACTGCTTCAGGTGAAAACCATAGTACCATTCTTCAGTATTATGTAAGGTCATACTACCAGAAGGAATTACCATGGGCTAGACAGTGTATATCGTCAGTGCTGTCTGTGTGTGAGGTTAGCATGCTTATTTAGAAAGAGACAGAGAGAAGCTAAAATATTTTGCAGCCCTATTCACTGTTAGTAATAGTGCTTATACACACAATGTCTCTGAGCATCTTGAGACTTTACCAAAAGGGGTGGCAATGAAAAGCGGTTTTGCAATATAGAAACTTCTGCATCTCTGCCAATTATTTCTCTCCAAGTAAAGTACAATGTGGTGAGATGGACTAATTTTCATGTAAATTGGTGAATTAATTTAAAAATTTTTCTTAAGCATCTAAGACCCAAGTATCACTTAATTACCATCAATTATCCTTTAATCTGTACTTAGTTTGAAGTTTGATCAACATAAAGTTATGAATGCATGATCAAAGTACACCTCTACCCCGATATAACACGAATTCGGATATAATGCGGTAAAGCAGTGCTCCAAGGGGGCAGGGCTGCGCACTCTGGCAGATCAAAGCAAGTTCGATATAACGCGGTTTCACCTATAACGCAGTAAGATTTTTTTGGCTCCCGAGGACGGCATTATATCAGGGTAGAGGTGTAATTATATAAGTTTCTTGAACAATATGCTGAATCAATAGCAAATCCACTGCCATACCAGTTACTCTGGAAATGTTCTTGTTAAGATTTAAGCTAGATTGCTATTTTGAGAATTAAACTGTACATACTGTGCATATAATGAATTTTTATCTTTGTATTGTAAATTATTTGATAGAACACATGATGGGAAATATGGCTTCAGTTCATTTTGTTAATTAAAGCTACCTCCTAAACTATAGTGGCTGCCAGTAATTGTGGTTTATATACTTTTTGCATTGTAAATAGACATGGTTGTACATTGTCACTGTAATAAAACAGAATCCTTGTATATCAAATCATGTAGTTTGTACAAAATATTGGGAGGGTTTCATTTACTGTATGCTGTAATTTTTGTAAGCCAAACTATTCAAGTAAAAACAAACAAAAAACAGAAAAGAAAATCATCCCAGAGTTTTAGCTTTCTTATAGTTATATTACTCATAAATATTTCATCTTAAGTTGGCATGGAGTGTCTCACTAAAAGCAAATAGGGTACATGGATATTGCTAGAAATCACACTTCTTAAAAAATGCATAAGATCTTGGAAAAGTTCCAGATGCACAAAATCAGCATGGGAAATTATGCTCATAAATATGCTGACAGATACAGTGTATTACCTATGGTTGGAGTTTTGGAAAGAGATGTGCCAACAGAATAACAGAGTTGCCAGTTTAAATGTGAATTTATGAACTAAACTTAATGCTGTAGACTTGCTGTAGACTTGCAGCATCCGGAGAAGCGTTTGGCTTTTTACAAAGCACTCTTCATTGTGAAGTATAGAATTTAAACCCAAAGGTACCTGTACATTTTTAGTATGACTTGGAAGATCATCCAGATGCCAAATATTTATTTTTTAAACCCCATCATTTCATTGCCAAGATGCAGGTTGTTTGAGCCACTATTATGTGAGAATGCACAATCTGTTTAACATTCCTTCTGTTGGCAATGTAGCAGCAGTTAAATAACTGTTTGAAGTATATGTAGCTACTTTCAGCTCTATTTGAAAAGAGGAAAATAAGTTTCAAATGGAAAAATACAATCAGGGAAAGATATCAGAGGGGTAGCCGTGTTAGTCTGAATCTGTAAAAAGCAACAGAGGGTCCTGTGGCACTTACTTACTGATTTATACCTGCCTCTGGAGATTTCCATTACTTGCATCTGAAGAAGTCAGGTTCTTACCCACGAAAGCTTATGCTCCCAATACTTCTGTTAGTCTTAAAGGTGCCACAGGACCCTCTGTTGCTTTTTAATCAGGGAAAGAAAAACTATCAAGCTTCCAATAGGACAGTGGTTCTCAATTTTTTGTACTGGTGACCTCTTTCACATAGCAAGCCTCTAAGTGTGACTCTTTCCCCCCCCCCCCCAATATAAAAACACTTTTTATAAATTTAACACCATTATAAATGCTGGAGGCAAAGCGAGGTTTGGGGTGGAGACAGACAGCTCATGACCCCCCATGTAATAACTTTGTGACCCCCTGAGGGGTCCCAACCCCCAATTTGAGAACCCCTGCCTTAGGGTATAGAGCAACAAAATGTTTTTTTAAAAAATCAGTCTTTATTAAATATTGATACCTTTCTTTAAAGTGTTACTAAAATAGTCAGATACTGTTAGGATGACCAGATAGCAAGTGTGAAAAATCGGGACAGGGGGTGGGGAATGATAGGAGCCTATATAGGAAAAAGCCCCAAATATCAGGACTGTCCCTATAAAATTGGGACATCTGGTCACCCTAGATACTGTTAAGTTGATACGTTAATGTTTTAAACCCTGGAAAATATTGGCTTGTAATGTGCTTGTTAATTGTGACTGTGACTTAATGGATGCTTTTTAATTGTATTCCTCCCAGTTTCTTCCAAAGCTAGCCAACATGAAATAGGTTCTTTCTACCATCAGAGAGAGCTAGAAGGGGGGGAAGGGAAATACAAGCAATAATCCCCTGAAGTCACTCCCTTGAGAAAGAGGGCTGCAAAACTGAGCTGGGGCCCAACTCCACCAACACAAGATAAAGGTGGCAGGTGTGGGCTTGCACAGGAGAACTTGGAGAAATCCAGTTAAACGGTAGGAAAGGCCTTTCAACAATGTCCTATGCCTCACAAGTTAGTTGAAGTAGTAATGCTCAATGCTAGAACAACCACAGGGTAGGTACAGGAAAAACCACCAACAGAGAATATAGCTGTCAACATCCACCCTCCAAAAGTGGCATCTTGTGGCTCCCCTATTCCCCATAATGATATGAAGAGGGGAATATAATGATACATGGGTGTCTGACATAGTTCTAGTGAGTAACTTACTTTTTTCAGTCAAGTAAAAATTACTTACAGAATTAATGTTCCTGAAGGTTTCTCCTGATAACAATAGCTTCCTGACTGCAGTAATTGAAATCCTAGAAAATTAAACCCTTCTTGGTTACTGCAGGAAACAGAACAAACAGATCACCTGATTTTCTAACCCTTCCTGTTACTTTGAGAGAGACTTAAAACCATCCTCACAGCAAAGATAAGGATGAGTTTTTTTCTAAATCCTGCCAAATACGAGCACTGGAGAGAAGTCCCACAAAGAAAATGGAACTTAGCCTGCCAGAAAGAACTCACCCGATATGCAAGATGCAGGAAAACAATTGAGCTGGGTCATCTATCCATCACATTCTATAGGTGTAGTGACACTACGAGAACCTTGGCTATTTTTCTTGTCTCCTGCTGGTGGGGGGTACCTTTGTTTAGACTGTCATAGGAGGATACTGAAGAAAGAAACTGCTAAATCTTGTATGTAATAAGGTCTCCACTTAGAAATAAGTTTTTACGTTCACTTTTTAGTTACATTTATTTTTAAAACAAATAAAACTATTAAAAGGCAAAAAAAATAGGCATTCCCATTTTGGGTGCTTACTGAAATCAGTTATTTCAAATATTTTGGCAGTTTGCTGTTGTGCATGAGTGATCACTTGGAGTTTAAAATCTGTAATTGGGGGTCCAGACTTTATGCAGTTATTCCTTTAATGGAAGTTGTACACGAGTAACATCTGCAAGCCCATGCTTTTCTAAGAACATTTAAAATATTAACATAGATCAAAGACAAAAATGGGTTTTTGTATTATGCTTTTAAAAAAAAATAATCTCAAACACTAATTTAACCTGCAGAATTCAATCTGTCGTGTACAAATGTTGTTTTCTGATGTAGGGCCATTTTTGCAGTTTAAGTGATATACATTTTCATACATAAGTCTCAAGTTGTCAATTACATCCCTTAAATTTTCAGTTCTAGCTGCACCCTTCCAGCTGAATCTCCTGTGTGTTCAATTTTGTAATTATAAATACTTTTATCAAAATTGTACACAAATCCTTTTATGTCTAACTTCTCTCACTTCTTTTGACTTTATTGAACAGTTTTTTACCAGCCTTTTGTTCTAATTTGCAGGCTAATACTTTTTAATTAACCAAAATATGTATAGTTTTCTTCAGAAGCTTATCCATATCTCAAATACCATACTCTCAATTTAATTATATTTTTTTAATTGTCTAGGTGCTTTGATCTCTTACTGCTAGCTTCCAAGTTTCAATTTATTTATTTATTTATTTATTTGGCTGGAGGTTTTTTTATATACAATATATACAGTAGAATCTTATTAATTTCCACTAAAGACTGGGACACCTGTTGCTAATGACTGAATTTTATAAAATTAATTGAGTGAATGAAAAAAATTGAAAAGAGAGGATATTGCATCATATTGTTTTTTTGTAAATTGTAGAGGCATTCATACACCATAACGACTTAGATGTGGACAAGGTTGTTTTAATGTATTAAAGGTATTTTATATGAAATGAGTTGTAATAGATTTTGTAAATGAAATATACTGCTGCATTTACTATAAAATCTTTGTTTTGAGTTGGGGATAGAGTAGACTATCTTGCTTCTGGGTAGATAAGAAGAGTTCTACTATATCAAAATATGATGTTTCATTGGGTTGCCAAGCCACAAGGCACTACCTGCATTTTCCTCTGAAATGCTCAATCTAACCATATGATCTGTTCTAAAAAAATGAACCATATTGTTAATTGAAGATTTTACTCCAATTAGATGATCATTCAAGTGAAGACTTGTTGCAAAGGGAAAAAAGGGCCACATGGTTGACTGATTGATAGTGACCTCTAAATAATGTTAAAAACAATGAGACAAATTTGGCATGAGCATACAGACTGAGGGTACATCTACGTTGTAATAAAAGACCTGGGGCATGGCCACAGCTGGGGGTCAGCCAACTTGGGCTCAGACTGTGCAGCTAAAAATTTCAGCATAGACATTGGGGCTCGGGCTGGAGCCCACAAGGGGGCTGGCTCTCAGAGCCAGGATGCAGCCTAGGCCTGAACGTCTACATTGCAACTTTTAGCCCTGCAGCCCAAGTACAAATCAATTGACTTGGGCTCTGAGACTCTGTGCCATGGATTTTTTTTTACTGCAGATGAAATCCTGACCCACTGAAGTCAATGGGAGTCTTGCCATTGATTTCAGTGGGACCAGGATTTCACTCTGAATATTCCATACAGATTCATTCAGAATTTTCCCACAGAAGAAAGAAATTCTCCCCATCTTTAGGCTACTCCCATTGCAATGGAAAGAAGTTTTAAATATATCAGTGTGGAAAAATGAGGAATGCTAAAACACACTATAATTAAGGTCCCCAAAATTCCACAGCCTCTGGAAAAATATGAACAAAAAGAACTAAAAGCAGCCAATACATCTTCACAAAGGTAGACACTTGCAGAGTGGGCCCATCAGAGCCTGGTCTGCTCGGGTGATGGGTATGAGGCCAGGTGTTTCTCCCTGGCTCAAAGGACTGCGGTTCCTCCCTTTGTTGGGAAACTCTGCAGATTTAAAGACCAAATACTAAATCTGTAGATTTGTCTGAGGGTGGTGAAAATTAACAGATTAGACAGCATAATTTTACACCAAAATATATGGACAGTCAAAAAATGGAATATATGGGATTTAAAATTTTTAGATGTGGTATTGAGAAGATTTAGAAGAAGATTTTCAAGATTTAGATATACTTCCTGCTATTGAGAATCTATTGAAAACAATATAAAATGTGAATTTAATGTTTCCTTTTATCAGATACAGCTAAGAATAAATTGTCTACATTATTTTAACTTGATGCTGCTTTTAGTGAACTATGATGAACTATGATACCTTTTCCCTCCATTTTTTTTAACTTGCATGATAATTCAGAAACAAGATTCTGGTTAATTGGGAAGTCTGTATATTTCTAGATTCTTCACATCAGACAGATCCACAGAAAGAAAATATGAATGCTATAATGTCAGAGTCTTGAAATGGTATACAGATAGCATGTTTTTTTAAATCTGCAAAATTGCAAGTTTAAATAAGGATTAATACATAACTCAGCCAACATTTTTTTTTAGTCTAAATTGACTACTTCTGCTGTGTGTAAATCATCATGATCTAGGAATGAGATTAATGCCTACTTATCATATTTTTAATTTTTTATGCTATTAAGAGAATAAGAAAGGGTTTATTTTTATAACAATTTAATGTCTTTATTATCATTCCAAGTGTCAAAATGGTAATAAATGCTGTTATTCATAAATATTTTAGTTGCCTGTTTATTTCCCCTTTCTTCCCTTATTCACAGGAAGTTTTTTTCTTAATTGTTATTTTGTGTACAATTATTTAGTAGCATATATTTTCTAGTATCTAATAAGGACTTTCTCAGTTTTTCTAGGTATAACTTTCGGTAGTTGTAATTAAAAATGTGTAAATATTAAAAAATAAGCAATAGAAAAGATATGTAAGTAATAAGCAGCCTGATCTTATAGGGTTTGAGTCAAAGTCCACTAGTCAACAAAAAGACATAACATAATCACATCGCCAAAAGAGACGTCTCTGTAGTGAATGCCTCCTGGAACAGGGATTTAGGGTATGTCTGTATCACAGATGCAACAGCGGCACAGCAACTGTAGTGCCTGAGTGTAGATACTTGATACAGCAACAGAGAAGGGTTTTTCCATCATTGTAGTTAAACCATGCCTTCGGGAGGCAGTAGCTAGGTTGACAGAAGAATTCTAGCGGTGTCTGTACTGGGACTTAGGTCAACCTACCTGTGTCTCTCAGGATGTGAATTTTTCACACACCCAAGTGATGTACCAAGGTTGGACATGAGTTTTAGATGAAGATCAGGCCTTAAATTATCATTACAGCTACATTTCAATGATTATTTTGTAAATTTCATAGAGCTACAGGCCAGAAGGAACCATTAGATAATCTAGTCTGGCCACCTTTTATATCACAGGCCATTAAATTTCACCAAATATTTCTATATTGAGCCCAATGACTTTAGGTAGACTAAAGCATTTCAGACCTCAGGAGTCTAAACTGTTGTGTGCCATAGGCAGAAAACAGGAGAGACCAAGGTGCCACCAATACCTGAGGCCCCTGCAATGGCAGGGAATAGATAAGGTAAAATGTCTGGATGATCTTAGCATGTGATCCTCACTGCATGCTGCTGCAGCAGACAGTGAAAAAACCCCTAAGGTCCTAGCCAATCTGACTTGGAGGCAAATTGCTTCACAATCCCAAATTGGGCAACCAATTTGATCCTGAATGTCTGAGCAAGACATATCAGCCAAGCTTCTAAAAAAGAGAATTCTCCCCACCATTTCAGACCAGTGGCCCACACTGCCCAATATCCCAGCTCCAGCTGTGGCAAATCTCTGATGCTTCAGAGGAAGGTGAAAAAACACCAAAGCACAATCCACAATACATCCAGTCAATTTTGCTTTGGGGGGAAAAGATTCTTTCCTGATCCCTGCAGAATGCTGGCTGTAGCCCTGAAACATGAGATTTAATTACAGTTCTGCATAAAGACAATAGCTGTAAGTTTTATGAGCAAATTGAGGGAAAAGCCCTTAAGACCCACCTAGCAGGATCAACAACCTACAAGGGATGCCAGGACCAGGTAAGAGTGCAGTATCACACCCTGCTCACCGGAGACACTCACAAGAGGTGAATTGTCCCCTGTCACAAGGACACTTCAAAGGGGTTTGGGGAATGGGGTGTACCTATATTGTTAACCTGCAAGGCAAACTAAGGACTGGCAGAGTCCAAAGGAGATGTTTTTGGTGGGTTAAAGGCTGGTGGGGTTAGGTTGCTGACACCCAGTTAAATCTCTCACTGCAGGCAGGTACCTATCAAGGTGACTCTCAGTCCTGGGTACCCCTGGAACCATCACTATTAGACCATTCAAATGCTTGTTTCCTACCACTTCCTTCAATTATAGGCATGTTAAACTCATACTCTGAAATTTGCTAAACAACGAAGTGACATTGAGATTAGAAACAAACACGACAGAAAATTCACCTTGTTAGTAAATTTTGGGGGAAAGAGCTGAAACAGATTCAGTTGGAGGTGGAAATGTGGAAAGGAGTAATATTGAAAAAACTACGTCTGATGGTTGGTAGCAGAAAGGGCCATTGGAATATTTTCCTGCATATATAGAGGCATATACCTCATGGAGTAGAGAGATAACAATCACTCTCAATACAGCTTTGGTGTGATCTAATCTAAAAATATTACACTTAATTCTTGGCACATCAATACAGTAAACATATTGACAAACTGAAGAGTTCACAGAAGAGCAACAAGGAAGAACTGATTTATGAGGAAAGATTAAAGTGCTATATATGTATAGCGTGACTAAGAGACAATTATGCTGAAACGTAAGTGCCCAACCCTGTCTCAGTGGAGTACCTGGGAATACAACTGGACCCTAATTTTATGAATATTTAATGGATAAAAACATCACAAGAAGAAATTATTTAAGGTAGTCCAAAGGGAGTATAGCTAGTAGTAAAGGGATGTAATTAAGAAAGGGAAAATAAAACCTGCATATTAGGAAAAATAATTCTTGAGAGTTAGATCTGCTAGAGTGTGAAATAGTCTCCTAAGGGAAGTGGTGGAAGTGTGTGACATATTTAAAACTAAATTACATAAATCACTAGAAAATACATTATATGGAACAATCTTGCATTGACAGGGGGACAGGCTGGATGACTGAAAATTGCATAAACTCTGTTTCTTTGAAAAATATGTTTTAACAATAAAGATGAAATGGAGGGCAACTCTAGTTTAATATTCCCCTTGTGACGTTCTGAATGTTGTGGTACCCTACCAATGCCAAGAAGTCGCATTTACTGACATTCTGTTATCGTTGTGTTCAAGTTAAAATACATTGGGGCCCAATCCTACAGTCCTTGTGCAGGAAATATGTCTCAGTGTATTGCAGGATCAAACCAGATCGTGAAACTCTGCCCCCACCCATAATGAGTATCTTGGACCAAATCATGGAGCTGTGCTGATTTACACTAGCTGAAGATTCTGGCTCTTTTGTATCACCAGTGGACTAAATGGACTGCAAAGAATTCCATTATCCTGCAACTGTTACTCAGTTTCCAATTCTCTGGTAAGCACATGGTAGAGCAGTGTTAATGCAGAAATATGTCTAAAGAAATTGGTAAGGAATTACTTGATTTTTTTCCTGCACCACCTCTTTCATTTTGAGATCAAATGACACTAGAACGGGATATGAACATTTAAAAGAGAGATTAAACAGTTCAGGTTCCACAGATCCACACGTGAAGGGGGTGCTCTGTGCCCAGATCTGCCCATACCAATGTGGAATGGAGATGAGTTGCCTCTGAGGTAACTTGGACCCCCTTGGAGAGTTCTGTGCCTGGCAGTGATGGGAATCTTCAGGCAGGAAGGGCTTTTGGTTTAAGAATCGGGTTTAAGAGATTTCACAACTGCCCCAAAATCTCAGAATTTTTAATGGTGATGTGGCTGGAAGTGGTGTGGGTTGAAAGTCCAAATGCATTGCAACCTGGTACTATCATTGAAATAGACTAAAGAAACAAGAGAGAAGGGTTGTGTCCAGATAGGCCCAAAGGGGACAGTTTTCATTATAGTCTAGATTCTTTTTGAGAAAGCTGTGGTTTTATTCTCCTGATATAAAAATGTATTTGACATGCAACTATTTTTCCAAAGAGAAAACTAAGCATAATGATGGGGTGACTCAAGAGGAAAATCTCTGGCTTTACAATTGCCAATTGTAGGTAGTCATGAGACTGCATGGGTAGAGGGAGTAAATCCGGGCAGCATAACTCCCGTACCTTTGTCAAACTCCAATTTTGATAATTACTTTTTCTAAATTCTCCCTATTTCAGATTAATACCATCTTTGGCCCAAATCCTGCAAACTTTTATGCACATACTTTAGAATGGAACTACTCACATGTGAAGTAAGCTTTTGCAAGATCAGGTTATTTGTCATTAAAAGCTGTTTGCTTCTAAGTGTCTGTAGCATTGCAGTCCAGATTTGGCTGCATTTCAGTGGTGAATAAAGTGGTTTGTACAAATTTAATACTACCCTTGTACTTACACGGTGGGATCCATGACGGGACTTACGCATTGCAATATTGTCAGAGTACTTAGCCTTTAAGGGCCTAGAAAATCACGCCCCATAGGTGCCTAGCTCTGCTAGTGGTCCATGATGATGTGTTCAGCTGCATAAGTCTCATAGGTAGGGCCTGAAAGAAGGCAGCTCCCTTATAACCTTTAGCCGTGTGGATACAGTTCTCACACAGCATGTCGGGGGCGAAGGAATTTGAAGAGGCGCCTCCACTTCAGTCACTGACCCAACGCCCCAGTGACTGAGCGACCTGCGCCTGCTCGCCCGCCCCGGCACCCTTCTGCTGCGCGCCGGGGGAGGCCGGGCGGCTGGCCCGGGGCAGTGCCCCCCGAGGCACCAGGGCTGGGAGGGGGGCGGAAGGGAGGGGAGCGGCGGGAGAAGGGGATTGGCTGGCGGGAGGTAGGGCGGCAGGAGACGTCGCGCACGGTTGAAGCGTCCCCGTTGCCATGGAACCCGTTGCGGGCGGTGATTGGCGGAGCGGGCGGTGCCCCGGGGCCCGATGGGAGCGCGGAGCCGACGCTGCGAGTTTCAAAGCGGCAGTCCCAGGTAGAGTGGCCCTGTCCTCGCCTCGCGACAATTAGCGCTGGGCTGGGGGGTGGCGGGGTTCGGGGAGGGCGCTGATGGGACTGGAGGCAGGAGTCTGGACGGGGGGTGGTGGTTTGGGAGGCCGGGGATGGCGAGGCCTGTAGGTTGGGAGTTGGGGGCGGGCAGGGTGGGTGGGTGGGTGGGGGGCCTGTGGGCTGGGAGTTGGGGGCGGGACACAGGGTGGGTGGGGGCCTGTGGGCTGGGAGTTGGGGGCGGGGGCCTGTGGGTTGGGAGCTGGGGGTGGAGGATTGTGGCTTGGCAGAGTAGGAGATAGGAGGATGGAAGGGCTGAGGATTTTGGCTAATGGTGGGGGCCTAGCTTAAGGGCAAGATCCATTGGTGACAGGCCTATGAATGGGCACTGCCCTTGTTCTATTAACTTCTCCTGACAGGTACTTACTGCCTCCATGCTCAGTGCTCAGCCCAGGAGTAGGAGGAGGGTCGCCCACTCCAGCCCTCCGTCCCCAACCAGCTCTGAGGATGAGCAGCCTTTGAGCTCCTCCACTTACTCCTTGCTCTCCCCCATTTACCATCAGAGTTTCCAGAGCTGCAATGAGGAGGAGAAGGAGGATAGGGAGGAAGCAGCACTATCAGCTAGGGGGCAAAGAACCTTCAAGAGGAATAAACACAATAGGTAATCTGCATGTACTCCCATTCCTTGGCTGTCTTTGCTATAATAGAAGCAGCTGGGTCCAGTAGGTAGCACCAGGAGCCAAGACTCCTGGGGTCTGTTCTCATCTCCATCACTGATGTGTAACCTTGCCCTTACCACTTACGGCAAAACTTTCGAACGTGGGTGTAGAAAGTTAGACAGCCAAATACTTATGTAGTCACCTAATGAAGGCAATCTAACTTTGAGGTAGTGAGAAGTTATAATTTCCATTTTTTTTCAGGTCAGTGGTAGTCTCAGGTCCTTGGTATTTCAGCTCTGAATATCCGATCACTTCTGTAGCTGCCTAGACAATGGATTTGGGACTGTAAACATCCACTCTTTGGAAATGTTATTAATCTCTATGTGCCTCAGTTTCCTTTATTAAAAGGGAATGATACTTGCCTACTTTTTGAATGTGCTTTGAGAGTTAGAAGATATTTTCTCTCAAATACATAAAACTACTACCCAACACAGGGATTTGAGGTGTATCAATTGTACCAGCGTTGGCTTCCAGGGTTTTGGACTCCCCATTTCTCGTTCTTTAGTTGTTCCCTTTCTTCAAACAATTCTTCCCTCCCCATCTGTTTTTCTTTCCTCTCCCCACCCCAGTGGTTGGGAACAGGGTTGTGGTGAATAATCTGTCACATTCCTCAAAAGGTGGCTGAGAAGATGTAGCAGCCAGGACCCTTTCCAATGAAAAGCATACCAGATCTACACCTTGGCTAAGAATAGGCACAGTTAGCAAGACACTAGTCAAAATGCGTGTGCTAGACAGTATGGTTCTGTAAAATTTGGGACTCTTTCAAATAAATGAGTCTCTTCAGCTCTTATGCATGAGTCTCAAAAGCTTGCTTGGATACCAATAATCATTTTCACTTGAGAGATGAAAATACAAAGTACTTAGCAAGGAAGCATTAAACATCTAATTATTATGAATTTCTGCATAGAACTTTCATCCTACTTTATCTATAAGATAATGACTCCAGGAAAACTTCTCCAGGTTCAAGAGGACTGAGACAAAAAGAATGGTAAACATAGCACTTTACTTGATAAATCTTGGCCCAGTCCCCCTTCAAGGCATCTTTAGAGCCCTGAGGGAAGTTCTCAGGTCCCGGTTTCACTTTACTCCTGTTCTTGTTCCTCTTTCCATTACCCATCCACCAGCTTGTCCAAGTACCTGTGTTCCTTAGCCTTTATGTCAAGCTACTGTCTCCTCCATGCTGCCTGAACACGAGCTGGGGGAATATTGAGAGAGCAAAAGAAACTGTTCTACGGGTCTCCGTTCCCATGCCCGTTACTACAGCAATCCCTGGCAGCTGTGAATGCCATTGCAGAAAAAGTCCTTGTAACCAGGTTGTCTGAGCAGCAACCTCTTGTGACCGGTCAGAGCATGACTCACACCACGGTGGGTCCCTCAGCATCACCTCTTGCAGATTATGGAGTCTGGTGCCTTAGCCCTCGCGTGCTCAAGCCCTTACCCCTTCTAGGGTGTCAGAGTCCAAAAACTCCTAAACTTCAGAATCAGTATTATCTGTAGGTTTGTTGTAAGGACTCTTGCTTGTCTGCTTCAGATGTGTCTCTGGGCATCTAGTCCCTTTTGGTTGCTTTTCCTGGGCTTAGTCATCCTATTCACCAAATGGTTCACCCAGGTAGCAAGCTGCCTTAGGCTCTTGGCTCGACCCAAGCTTCCCTTGTCAAAGAAGTAACATAGTTCTCTCCTTCCTGGTCAGCCCTGGAGTGGCCTAGCTCTCTCTCTTTTAGCTCCCCGTTCCATGCCTGCAAATATAGCAGGGTGGAGTCATCTGGATTCACAAGCTTCTTTAACCCTCTTGTTGCCACAGTGTCCTCAACCTCTGCTTGTTAGTGTGGGGCGAAGACATCCCATCACAGTCCCTGCTCAGTCCCAGGCTGGAACACGCTCGGTTAGCTCCCTGGGGATAGAGTATACTTGGTACTGACAGAACAGTACTGAGCACGTACATATGGCAATTTTCAGACACTTATAACTCCACGAAATTTGGGTGGATTCTCACAGGAACTGCAAAAGGCACCTACCTCTTTAGCCTCCTGCCAACCCTGGCCAAATTTCAAATCTCTGCTCCAAAGCATGGTGGCTCTGGAGCTTCTGAATGAAACATTTAAAAATCTTTAACCATTGGTAAAACAATTTATTTTTCCCTAATCTCAATTTCTTAAACAGGTGAATCTTTTGTGTTGAAATTTAAAAAAAAAAGAAAAGAAAAAGGACAGACACTTGTGGGAAATTTCAGCTCAAACAATTAAAACATGGCAAAGTTTTATAAAGGAAAGTGCTAGGCAACCTTAGTTATAAGGTGTTACTGCTAGCTCCACCTATGATCTTGGGTCACTTACTTTCAGCATGCATCTTGATAGGTTTACTCTGATATATTGACTTAGTGAATCTACTGTTAATAAAAGTCACTAAACTTTCTATTAATCAAATTTCAGTTCTTCTGACTCAATACATATAACTTGAGTTAGGGAGTGAATCTAATATAAATTCTCACTAAGGATTGTGGTCCTTTCAGAACTCCCTGACTTGTTTTTCTTCAGAATAATGCATAGTACTGAATGTTCTGGCACAGTGGTTTTCAACCTTTTTTCATTTGTGGATCCCCACAAAGCTTCAAATGGAGGTGCCTGCTCCTTTGGAAGTTCAACCTCTGGTCCATAGACCCCAACCATAGAAGTCTTGCACTGAAAACTGGCTGAACAGAATTCAACTATAAATGTTGCACATGCTCGGCATGGCATTTGATTCAGTGTGAGTAAGGGCGCTAAACTATGGGCTTTTATAGTAACGACAACATTTCCAGGTTTTGACCTGTAGGTGGGGGTATTCACATACTTTTGATCAGAGAAAATGGAATGCCTTTTCTGGGATCTGAGACTTAATTCATAATCACCTTCCGCACACCCCTTACACATAATCTGCGGACCCCCAGAGGCCTGCAGACCACAGGTTGAAAACCACTGTTCTATTACTTCAGAAAGTGGTCCTGTGACTTTCTATCAAACTTTTACGTGATTCAGACATCGGCAAGCAGTATTCAGCTCATCCGTGTCACAAAATCATTAGGTGATAATGAATCACAACTGGTAGACAGTACAGAATACAGCATGTTTAGGTGGCAATATAAAATAAAAATCATTGAATTTTAAGATTACTGCATCCCTGTTTCAGATTCCATTACATCAATTTGTTTTGTTACAAAGGGTGTTTTTGTAAGGTTAGCCTGATGTTTTCAGGCAAAAGCTCAGTACTTTAACAAAATACACTATTCAAAATTGCTTTGGATTTGACACATTAGTGGCTAATGTTTTGGGAATTCTTTATTTGTGAGTCTTAAAGCTGGAAAAGACTCTGTCCTTGCCAGTGCAAAAGTGCTTGCCAAACTATTCTTGCTTATGCTTAAAACTAACTTATAAAATTCCAGTGGGTTCATCTGTGAGTTTTCTACGTATTTTTTTTTAGGCTATACAGAAACTTCCCTTTCAGCCAATATGTTTTATCCGGTCTATTATAGTCTAAATATCCCAGATATAGCTTCCACCCCATCTCCTGGGAGTCTACGGAGGGTTGAAGTCAATAGAAGTAGAATTAGGCTAATGCTGAGTCCTTTTGAAAGTCCAGTCCTACCAGTATAATGGCTCGTGATCATATTAAGCCTATATTTTCCTCTGCTTAACTTGATCTGATTTACTCACAGTTAGTCTCTCTTTTACCACCCTAAATAATTTTTGTTTTGGTTTTTACACCCTTATATCTATTTCCCTAATTCACCAAGCTACATGTTTGCTTAATGTTACTTTTCCTGTAACATAAGAATGGCCATACTCGGTCAGACCAAAGGTCCATCTAGCCCAGTATCCTTTCTTCCGACAGTGGCCAATGCCAGGTGTCCCAGAGGGAATGAACAGAATAGGTAATCCCAGCTTCTGTCAAATAGAGGCTAGGGACGCTATCCTTGCCCATCCTGGCTAATAGCCATTGATGGACCATGAACTTATCTAATTCTTTTTTGAACCCTGTTATAGTCTTGGCCTTCACAACATCCTCTGGCAAGGAGGTTGATGCTGCATTGTGTGAAAAAACACTTCCTTTTGTTTGGATTTTAAACCTGCTGCCTATTAATTTTATTTGGTGACCCCTAGTTCTTGTGTTATGAGAAGAAGTAAATAACACTTCCTTATTTACTTTCTCTACACCAGTCATGATTTTATAGACCTCTATCATATTTCCCCCCCTTAGTCATCTCTTTTCCAAGCTGAAAAGTCCCAGTCTTATTAATCTCTTCTCATATGGAAGCCTTTCTATACCCAAATGGTTTTTGTTGCCCTTTTCTGACCCTCTTCCAATTCCAATATATATTTTTTTGAGATGGGGCGACCATATCTGCACACAGTATTCAAGATCTGGGCATACCATGGATTTATATAGAGGCAATATGGTATTTTCTATCTTATTATCTATTCCTTTCTTAATGATTCCCATCGTTCTGTTTGCTTTTTTTGGCTGCCGCTGCACATTGAGTGGATGTTTTCAGAGAATTATTCACAAAGACTCCGAGATCTTTTTCTTGAGTGGTAATAGCTAATTTAGACCCCATCATTTTATATGTTTAGTTGGGATTATCTTTTCCAACGTGCATTACTTTGCATTTATCAAACTTGAATTTCATCTGCCATTTTGTTGGCCAGTCACCCAGTTTTGTGAGATCCTTTTGTAGCTCTTCACAGTCTGCTCAGGACTTAACTATCTTGTGTAGTTTTGTATCACCTGCAGATTTTGCCACCTCGCTGTTTACTCCTTTTTCCAGATCATTTATGAATATGTTGAATAGGACTGGGCCCAGTACAGACCCTTGGGGGGACATCGCTATTTACCTCTCTCCATTCTGAAAACTGACATTTATTCCTACCCTTTGTTTCCTATCTTTTAACCAGTTACCAATCCATGAGAGCACCTTTCCTCTTATCCCGTGGCAGCTTCCTTTGCTTAAGACCCTTGGTGAGGGATCTTGTCAAAGGCTTTTTGAAAATCTAAGTACACTATATCCACTGGATTCCCCCTTGTCCACATGCTTGTTGACT